AGCTATCATCTATGTTATCTTATATAAGAAATAACATTCAGATCCTGACATGAAGTTTATTTGGAAATGTAATTACGTATGAATAAGATGACGTCTCGCTCTCTTATGAAAAAAATATGAGCCGCGTCACGACAAAACCAACATAATGGGTTTGCGACCAGCATGGATCCAGACCAGCCTGCGCATCCGCGCAGTCTGATCAGCATCCATGCTGTCCGCTTACCAATCCTATTACAAGTAGAGAAACTGATAGCGAACAGCATGGATCCTGATCAGACTGCGCGGATGCGCAGGCTGGTCTGGATCTATGCTGGTCCAAACGCACTATGTTGGTTTTGTTGTGACGCGGCTCAAATCATAATTTTTACCGCTAGACAAACTTATTTCCAACATCTCAGTGTACTGTCATAATAATTTATTAAGATAGCCCAGACACTATAATAAAACATGACGTTAAATCGATTTAGAGCTACACAATTCCAACATAAAAAATGTCATAAATCAACTTAAAAACATATACGATATGAATAAAAAATGAGTAAAAATCTACGAGATTCTGTTAACTAAATAAATCTGGTTTGTGATGGTAATCTTAGTAAATTTAAAGACCCAGTTAGAATCGATAGTAGCATTGTCCACTCTTAACAGTGTCAAAATTGTCAACAAATGTGAATAAAGTAGAAGAGGTATATTTCATGGATGAAAGAACGTTTAATTGTCCGTGAATTTACTGATGTTTTAATAGTCGTCTAAATCCATTACATAGGAAATGAAGTGTGTAGTTTTTATTGAAACTTATCTTAATTTGATCTTATTTATAACGCTATCTTTTGATTTTTTTATTTTATTGTCATTTACGAACGAGTGTTGATGACCTTAAATAGCATTTTGTTTATGTTTCAAGATGACTCATGCATTTTTAAAGTGTGTTTGACATTTTGAACTGTGCAGGAGTAAAAAAAAAATATTTGTGTAAAAACTTTTAGCTCTTATATAAAAATTGTAATTAAAGATTTTTATCTAACATCGATGAAACATTGACATTTGTTTGTTTTTTTTTTTAATAAAGCTACCAATTATGAATACATGTAATAAAAACGTACATTGTTCGTGTACAGAAAAGAAAGAGGCCTTGTTTTGAGCTACGTGTCAAACCAAGCAACATCTAATAAAATCAATCAATTACGATTCAATAACTAATCAATTACAATACATTTGAGCCGCGTCATGACAAAACCAACATAATGGATTTGCGTCTGATCAGGATCCATGATGTTCGCTTACCAACCCTATTACAAGTAGAGAAACTGATAGCGAACAACATGAATCCTGATCAGACTGCGCGGATGCGCAGGCTGGTCTGGATCCATGCTGGTCGCAAACCCATTACACGGTGATAGGGCGATTACCACAACTTTTCCGCGCAACGTCAAAATATCTTACTTCTGTCCGAGACACCGTATATTTCTGTGGTACAAAATGGATAGCAAGCCTGTAACCGAGACGAAAACAGCATATAATTTGCTCAAAACAAGGTAAAATCGTCATTTTTTTTCTTTTTCATCGAATGTGCCATTTAATTTGAAACTTATTTATCTTTACTACATGCAAAATGCTTCATTAATTAAGTCAAGATAGTGAAAACATTTAGGGCATACTGAAAAAAATCTTTTTTGATTACGAATTATAACGTATTTCTAGTTCGTTCAGTTCATATAACTGGTCAAAATACAATATAAATATGTACATTCTTGTCGTATGAACAAGTTACAATACATAAATAACCCGTTTTTTGTATATTTGGTATGATTTTTATGTTTCCACGTGTGTATTTTAAGGCACCGCACAACTTCGTCAATCATAAGATTAGGGCACCGCATTGTTCCTCCTTAAAGTCACCGCATTTTGCTGTCTTTTTAGCAGCGTTGATTGTTGATATTAATGTTTGCTTTTAGAAAAAGAAGACGTTCAAACCTATGTCTGAACAAGCCAAAGCAACGTGCAAAATACGCAAAGCTGCAGATACTGCAGCAACTGGTGAGCGCCCAACTAAGTCTTCTGATATCAGCAGTACGCCAATGGATCAGCGCCTCCCTGTATTTCAGGACGATATGCGTAACGCACCACATAAGAAAAAGAATATGAAGTCAAACTTTCGCAAAAGATTGTTTAAAAAAAGCACATTGGAGACGATGACTGAAGAGATTATGGAAATATTGCCCGGGTTCCTGCAAAAACTACACCATGAAAATTTGTGTTATGACTTTTGCAACTTTATCAAATTAGTATGCAATAAGAAATTCCCATTAACAAATAGTTCATTCCTTTTGTTTCTCGATGTTGTTTGATGGTATAGTCTGCCAAGAACTTCAATCTTTCCATGTGGGGTTTATCAGTTTGAATAAGTTCGAAAAGGAAAACACATCCTTATCTATATATAGATACCATTGCACTTTTCTAATTGGTAGTATTAACACAGATCAGATCTTCAGAAATTTTCCATAACATAACGTATGATACATCAGCAACATAACATAACAGCAAGTAAATAATCTTTCATCAAACTTTCATCAAATAAAAGTTATTATAAAACATATTTGTAAGATTATTGTATAATTCAAAAGAAGACGGTTCCAGTATTTATCTGTCTAACGGAAAAAGAATGCGGTGTTTGAATTCAGTGTTGTACGGTGCTCCAATATTCGGGTCAGTAGGCCTTTTTTCAACAAATATTCCTTGAAATTTACGATAGAAACACACAATTTTGTATGGAACTTGAACTTAGGGTTAACCATAATAAATATACAAGCTCGTTAGGTCATAGAACAAAGACATCGTCGTTATAACTCATGTTTTTATGTCAAGTACGAGTCATGTTGAGGTACACACGATCTTTTGTAAACACTATTTCTTCGAAGTATGTGTTTTTGTGTGAACTGTATTGTGCTAGATTAACAATAAATTGTCTCAAAAATTTGATGGAATACTTAAACAATTGGAATAATCTTGCAATGTCCAGCAGTAAGATATTTTGTAAGCTATTACCTGGAATTTGTTTATCCCGCCATTAATATTTTGTCCAGAAATATACGGTGTCTCGGTCAGAAGGATGATATTTTGACGTTGCGCGGAAAAGTTGTGGTAATCGCCCTATCACCGTGCATTATGTTGGTTTTGTCGTGACGCGGCTCATTTATTTCCTACTTGATCGAAGTCAACATCTTATGAACGAAAAAAAAACGGGAATTAGAGCAAATTTAACGTTAGATTGATATACTTATTTAGTCAAACATTATTTAACTACGTCAGACATAGTTCAATATTATTTTTATACGTGTTGTCTCGTTGGTTAATAGTACGTATAACCTATTTGTGAAGCCATAGTCCGCCTCTTTGATATGGTTTTAGGTATAATTTGAAAATCTTAATTGGTTTGTTGTTGTTGTTGTTGGTTTTTGTTTGTTTTTTATTTTTTTTTTTTTTTTTGTTGTTGTTGTCGTTGTTTTTGTTGTTGTTGTTTTGTGAGAATATTTAGATGGTAGTTGATCTATTAGGGAAATATGAGATTGTAGCGAGCTGGTAATAATAAACAAGTATAAACTTTGTAGCCTACGTTACATTTAGATTAACTGCATGTAAATGACTGTTACTAATTAAGTGATATTTCTTATGAAACATATTTTTTTATGATGAATATTGTCTACAGATGATTTTTTTTCTCTCATGTAAAAAGAAGCGCAGATTAGCATTAGTTGAGACTGTTTTATAATGAATTGTACAATTTTGGAGTCTCTAAATAACATTTTGTGAATGGTTGCATATTATTTTGGTTGTACGTTATATGTGTCATGTATATATAATAAAGTCTTAAATAACTTTAGAAGATGGTGTTAAGGATAGGCAATATTGCAAAAGTCATGCTGACATTCACACCTACCGACTTTTGCGACTGCTTTACATTTTCGTTCTACGACATGAAAGAGAATCTAATAACGCACTTGTACGCGTTCTGTACTTTTGAGCAGCTTATTAAGTTAAAGGCACGAGTATTTCGCTCATTTGCTGGCGAAACTGGGCGTCATCTGATTGTAAACTTTGAACAATTTCAAAATGTTTACAGGATCGCGAGGAACGAATGAAATCAATACAATTTATATCATTTCTTTATCAATAAATTACAAATATATTTTTATTTATATCTTATTAGTGATATAAGTGGGCGATACAGATTATGAGATATCGTATGGCAAAATTTGATATCTCACTTGTTGTCAACACTAAATCACATAGATCTATCCATTTTCTTCCCTGACATATTTAATCAACGTAACAGCTGTTTTCAGAATATATGTATAATACATACATGTAAAATACAATAGATTCACACGAGAAATGGACAAGTAATTAGTGATTCTTGGGTAACATCTGCTGTGAGATCAAACTATCTATTAACAGAGGTGTTCCTAAGTATCTACCCAAGGTGTGAGTTTTGTCTAGCAGCGTGACAGCGTATTCTTCTTTTAGGCGTTCGGTGAATCAAATTAGAGCACGTGTTATTTCGCAAATTGAAAATCATACAGGCCTTGTCATATGTGTGTACCTTTTATTCCTTATCCACCTGATTCGTTGTTGTAATATTCTGTTGTCAATTTTTCACAAACATTTCTTAAGTGGGTATCCATTACAAAGAAGTGATTTTTTATTTTCTTTGTCAAGATCATTTTTTATGTCAGTGTCATGTTATTTGAAATCGGTCGCGTAATTTCTCTATTAAATACGCAACAGTTCATTACATAACATTATTCATTATTTAAAGTCCTCATGAGTTAATCAATGCATTTGCACTCGTCAAATACAATCATTATAACAATATATTGTTTTCTATTGTTTTATCAGCATAGGTATTGTTGAATCTTTTTTTTTCCCTATTGTATGCTAGGTTCTGTTGTTGTTTTTTAATAAGACGCTGTTTATCTATTTTAAGAAAAAAAAGGTATTACCTTTGTTTTGTTAACTATCCGTGTAATTTAAAGTAATCCACGTCTGTAATACACTTCCTGTCGAGATCGATGTTGACAATATTGTATAGAATATTACAGACTATACCTGTGTTATTTTGTAAGCGTGCTAGTCATTTTACTTCTGTATTGATGTATAATATCGATTGATACACAACAATAGCGTGCGCGCGCATAAATACAGTGTTAATTTATCCACTTAGACCCGTGTATGAATAATTTAAATCACCCACCTGTATTCATTGATAAAAAAACGTTTCTGTTGATTTATTTGTATTGAAAATAAATAGGAGTAAACAAATATCTATTTGGACAACTGGTTGTAATTGTTCATATTAATAGGCAGATAAGTTAAGTTTTGTTATTATAATAACAAGATCAAAAACACACATGCAAGTGTTAAATAGCCACTCAAATATTATATGAGAAAAGTCAGTGTAGTCTTGCGTAATCAGCCAACAATTCTCTGAATATTCTAGCAGACCAAATTTTAAGCTTTCGTAAAGTTTCCTAACAATGATTAATTCATCGTTATTTAGTACCATCATCACCATCATCATCATCATCATCAATATAATTATCATTATCAGCAGCAGTAGTAACAACAGTAAAAGTTGTAATATCATTTACGATGACAGTAACCTGTAATTGTATTAGACTGTAATTAACAGATCGTCATCCAACACAATAATGATCACGATGACGATTATGGTGATGATGATGATGATGCCAAATTGTCACATCATATTATTTTACTTACATAAACTTCATTTTTTTCATTGATAATCATCAATTTTATTGTAATTTTCATCATCAACATCACCATTATAATAATCAGTATTATCATTTACGATAATAATGATAATGATGATGATGATGATGATGATGATGATAAAAATACTCATATCATAATCACCAATAACTTTATTTTTTTCATTATTACCATCAATTTTAATTATAATAATTATTATTATTATTACTATTACTATTATTTTTATTATAATATTATTTATTATTATTATTATTATTATTATTATTATTATTATTATTATTATTATTATTATTATTATTATTATAGGGCGCGTCCGTGGACGATTGATTAGTGTCGTTGACTTCAAACCACTTGCCCCTCACCGCTGAATCCCGACATGGACTATGATTCCTTCATGTGAGGAAGCTATCAACTAGCTTTCGGAACGTTTGTGATTCTACTCAGATGTCCGTTCGTGTCTGAAATAATGCACGGTAGGACACCTTTGGTCCTCCTTCACCAAGAAAACAGGAAATATGACCTCTACTGTGTTATGATAATGTCCACTGCTAATAGCTTATGAACTGATACTGACTGGTTCGAAATCTGATAATAGCTTAATTAAATGGAAATAGATTTATATTAATATGTTAATTATTTCTTAATATTTCAGTACGAATAAGATATAGACAAGATTTTTAATTTTTTCTATCTAACCTTTGAAGCTTGAATTTTCCTTCAACTGTAATAACATGATGGTATATAGAAATAAGGTAATCAGATATCAATAATACTAGCAAAGAGTTATGTTTATACGTCAAACTAAACAAGCTTTTATTTTTATAACTAGGCTATGCAAATTGTTTATAAAGACCTATTATTCGTTAAATATATTCATTGAAGTAAACACGGTAAATCAATATAAGTTTAAATGGAACTTGAATATTTTATTTTTTTTTAACACTTCAGTATACAATGGTGTACGGCGTTTGATGAGAAAAACAATGAATAGTGCGTTGAAGCATGTTATAATAGTTCAACAGTTATTTCCTTTCATTTTAGCTATAAATCTTTAGAGGGACTCTTTTAAGGTTCATATACCATTTGATAACGGTCTCGACCAATAGCTACTATGCAAATTTTCATATCATTCACTCACTCTATATAATTTTTTTATTATTATATACAATATTTTAATTGTGAAAAAAAAATGCCCAAAAAAAAAGAAAAGCGTCGAAAGACTTTTTTTAAACTTTTTTTTAACTTATATCGTGATAAGAACGTCACAAAAGATAATAAAAAAATATTTTAAAAAATCATTTCTGATTATATTTCGTTTTCATCTATTGCATACCTTTCCGTTTAAAGTGCCCAAGTTGGTTCATGTAAGAAATTCGAATTTAATGTTTTATGCTATTGGTCCCAAGTGAAGTTCTAAATGTGTATTTTAGGAGCAAAGTGGCATGCAATGATTAATCAAATAACAACAATAATTGTATGAGCAGAATGCTATTATATTTCATTTGAATAAAATCATGAATATGGTCAATCAAGGACAATTTCACTAAGTTAAGTTTTGATATATAAAAGTTAGCTCGATTGTAAAAATGCTTGCAAATTATATCAATCACATTTCAGAGACCATTTCTTGGTGTTGTCATATAAATAATTATAGTCGGGACCCGAGCAGGGCTCGAGCACAGGATCCCTTGGTTACGAGACAGCCATCCAGGCCACAACTTTCTGATTGAGCAAGATTTCAACTGATATATAACATAAGTTATGTTGGAATAAATTAATCTCAAAATAAAAACTAAGATAGTTATATTATCACAAATACATGTAATTATCATATCACCAATGTCTGGAAAATCGTTGATATCAGGTAGGGCCTCTTCGCGTTGTGTTAGGATTGAATAAGTTCAACAGAAACATGACTTTTCTACGGCATTGTTTGAGTTGAAATAACACGATGATAACACCAAAGACTTATATTGCAAATCAAATTTGATATTAAAAATGGCACCGGCGTGCTTGAAGTTGAGACGCAGCTATCAAAATGAAAGATGTTCACACCAAAGACTTATTTTGCAAAGTCAACTTAGATTAAGACAAATAATAATGGTACCTGACCACATTAACTTATATAAGATCAGACGAATCTGTCAAGTGGATAGTGTCTCAGACAACAAAGTCAAAAGCCATATGTTTTATATTTGGCTTATTTAACCCAACAACAGTTTACAGCAATGTCAATGTTTATTTATGATGATTTACGATGTTTCACAAAAAAAACCGAAAAGGGTATTTAGATATGTAAAGTGGGAACCTTTGAAGGTCGACAAACGGCAAAATTGAAAATATTGCAGTTGAATTTGATTGAGGCTATTCATGGACCACAGTGATAAATGCAAATTATTTTGCATGCCTCCACACCCCTCTCACACCGGCTTAAGCAGATTACGTCTTACTAGAACTTTACTTATATACACACATCAAAATATTGACTGTTAATCTACTCTATACAAGTTTTTTATGTCATACTTTTTTTCCTTTGTAGATATTTAATTAATTTCAGACAAACTATATAGTTCGCCAAAAGGGAAAAATTCTTTATGACTCGTCTTTCGTTCTTATCTATTTTCCATTATGTAAAAAAAATTTGTTTGTTGATTCTTTGTATGCACATTATATATTCTATTGGGAATAAATATGTTTAAACCAAAATATTACCATTTCTAATTATACCAAGACATTGACAAAGAAAATAAAATAAGGTAGAGGAAAAGATGGTTTATTGAAAATGTATAAATGCATATACATATAAATATTAAGCATAAAGGAACAATCCAGAGAACGTGGTAAGTCTTAGGCTGCCACTACCTTCTAAATGACTACCGTTATGTGTGGCATCGATCCAAACTCGGTCCCCTTGCTTGAGCCGAACAATTACTGTATTACCACCCTGTAGGTCCTAAAAATATCAGAATGAGAAAGAACTAGAAGAATATATAACATAATATGTAATGCCACGTAATAAGCAGTGGTCACGAATCGTTTATAGTTCTCATGCCAAACTTGTTTGCATTTTTGTGGCAGTTTTGTGAAATGACACAAAACTTTATAAAATAGTTTACCTTTGGTTTGAATATACATGTATCCGATAGATTTGGATTGTGTTATTGTTATTTTAACTCTTTAGTGTAAGTCCATAAAGAACTTGTTCGAAATGCAGGGAAGGCCGATTGTTTTAACATTTACCATAATGTGATAACTTATAATGATGTGAGGATAATAAATACATTTAATCTGTCAACCTTTATATTCAAATTCAAGTACAATATAACAAAATATAACATAGTTTGTTATAACAGTTACCTGGGATGGGTGATATGTATCAACAACCGCATCTATCATGTTCATACTGTTTACCATAAGTTCCGCCCACATGTAATGATCCTGGTCTCTTTGACCAATAGAAAACGTGAACATGTAAACCCCTCCTTCAGAGCACGTGAAAACTCCAGTTTGCGCACTATATCCGCCTCCGTCGTTTGTGATTATCTGTAAATTTGGATTTGATTTTCTCTTAGATTTATATTCAATTCGATATTTCATTTTCATTTAAGAATACTTCCTGCTACTGTGATTATTAAGTACTCGAAAATAAATTTTATTTTCTGAGCCACATTTCCTTCTTCATCATGATATTGCTCTTTTTTTAAATTTTGAATTTTTCATAAAATTCTAGACAGAAGAATGCCCGTCCTAATGGAATATAGTAAAATCAATGTCACGTAGATACATTAATAAAAGAAATAGTTCGTAAGACCACTCCTTCTATTAATATTCTTCAGATACAAAAAGTTGCGGTTCAAAGATGTATCTTTAACTAGAGACTGTTTCACAACCACAAGGGAATAATACAATATTATGTAAATTGATGAAGAATTCTAACAACACATCTAGATGTATATGTATATAAATTAAATGTCAAAGGAAAAAAATAATCTGTCTTATAAATACAGATAATGTCGAATAAGTCATACTTTACTTTGACGTTAAGAAACAGAAAACACGTAGATCATGAGAACACAAAAGAATGTGTTTACCTTATTAAATTTGACCGTCTCGTGTTGGGAAATGGTGGCATCATGGTCCAGATAGACAGAAAATGCTATTCCACCGAATGCTGAAAAATTAAGATGTTGCAATTTTAAGTAAATAAAACAAAATAAGCCTGAATCCACACAGGCTGTACCCTCAGACATGTAACATGTTGTTGATCCATTAAACAATGAATTTACATGAATAAAATTTCAAAATTCTTGCAAAGCATTCATCTTTTGATTCGTGATAAATTTATGTCATTATATCAATTACTCGAACATTTATTTTAATTGTGAACAAACAATAAAGCAAATCGAAGATATATTCCAATTTCAAAATGTTTCGTGGGACTGAATGCAGAAATCTGCATTGATTGTAAATAGTCAAGTAAATATTTTAAGAACAATACGGATTAAACAACTTAGAGACAACATCATCGTATAACCAAAATTACATGGTATCAATTCATAAAGTAAACATAATTGTAACGTAAAAATAATTGATACTGACACTGTCTTGGGGACACCAAATTCCTTCGCCGCTCTGGCGTTTCATTTGATTTCAAATGTCGTGTTTTTTGGTTTTCATCGTGATTTTTGCGGTTAGAGAAGTCTGGTTTCTTCTGTTGTTCGTGATCAATACGACTGCCGTGTGTGTCCTCAAAATCATTGGAATTTATTTCGGTAACGTTGGTGTGTTTGGAATGACTTGCATGGCGGTAAGCTGAGTTTGATCCACTCAGCAATGGTCCATTTGAAACCAATGTCTTACTTTTGTTGGCATGTGCGTTCGTAGACGTTTTAATATGGTGTGTTTCTTTGCCTATGTGACCGTTCACTTTATGATCATGACTGTTTTTGTTTTGATTTCTGTGGTTGGAATGGCCGGTATGTTTATTGGAGTCCATTCTGTGATTCTGTTTACGAGATTGACCGTGACTGCTAGAGTCGTCAGACTTGTGGTGTTGATGATTAGAGTTATGGTGCGTATTTGTTTTGTTTGATTTGTGATTGACATGGTGATTATGATGGTAAGAATGCCCACCACTGGTTTTGTTGTTATTTCTATTATTAATTGTACTTAAGCTTTCAGTTTGGTGCTGATTGTGTTGATGATAACTTGATTTGTTTGATTTACGATTTTTAGAATATTGTCCATGCAGATTGATATTTGATGCGATCAATTCTTTATCATGGTTCTTATAAGCCTTGTGGTGATTGTCGTTGCTTTTTTTGTGATTATGACTTGATGAAAGCTGGCTCTTTTGATTATTCTTTGTATTCATGTCAGTCCATTCTTTCAAACCTTTATTAAGTATAAAACTTCTAATTGACGAGTATTTTCGCCGATTTCTCCGAGCAAGACGGTTTGTTCTATCAAGTGTAGCGGTAAGTTGACGCACTGTTCCTTCTAAGTGGTGGATTGCTTTCTTTTGTTCCTCTATAGTACTAGTCTGTGCGTTAAAATCGTGTTCAAGTCTAGTTATTTTGTTGGTATTAAATCTACAAAAAGTTTTCAATTGCAAAGTTTAGTTTAAAAATCTAACAGGTGTGACTGTGGTAGTTATTAACGATGTGACATAAGAATTTATTTATTTGACTTCAAGATAAAATAATTTATAATTGAAAAAGAAATAAGATATAAAGTCGTAAGTTATTACGGTAAAGTGTACAATACTAGTTAACAAGAGCTGTCACATGAGACAGCGAAGCTCGACTTATTAAAAACTGGATGCAGAAAAGAATATAAAACAATGAAAGAAAAATCAATTATGATATAAATTACATATGACATTCATATGACAAGAAGTTATAGTTGTAAACATAAAATCCAATTTCAAGGGGGAAAAGTTCTGGAAATAGTCACACTTGAGTTATGGACCTTGTCACACAACATGTGTGTAAATGATAAGAAATATATATTTGAAGTTTGAAGTAGATGCCTTAAAAAGTAAAGAAGTTGTATATATACTGCTTCAAGAGTTAAGAACCTTGTCACATAAGATCTGGTTGATGATAAGGAATATGTATTTGAAGTTTGAGGGAGATACCTTTAAAACTAAATAAGTTATAGTAAAAAATGACATTTTTCAAGTAAAAAAATCTAAGTTAATGGGGAGATAATTCTTGCAGTATTGGTGCAAGAGTTATAAACCTTGTCACATAAGATGTGGTTGATGCTAAGGAACATATTCTTGAAGTATGAAGTTGATCCCTTAAGAAATAAAGAAGAAACAGTTAAAAAATAATATTTTTTAAAGAAATTTCTAAGTTCAAGTGGAGATAAATCTGAAAATATTGGTACTAGAGTTATGAACCTTGTCACATAAGATGTGGTTGATGATAAGGAACATATACTTGAAGTATGAAGTTGATCCCTTAGGAAATAAAGGAGTTACAGTAAAAAATAATATATTTTAAGGAAAATTCAAAGTTCAAGGGGAAACAACTCCGAAAATATTGGTGCTAGAGTTATGAACCTTGTCACATAAGATGTGGTTGATGATGAGGAACATATATTTGAAGTATGAAGCTGATCCCTTAAGAAATAAAGAAGTTACATTAAAAAATAATATTTTTTAAGGAAAATTCAAGGTTCAAGGGGAGATAAATCTGAAAATATTGGTGCTAGAGTTATGAACCTTGTCACATAAGATGATGATAAGGAACATATACTTGAAGTATGAAGTTGATCCCTTAGGAAACAAAGAAGTAACAGTAAAAAATAATATTTTAAAGGAAAATTATAAGTTCAAGGGGAGAATAATCTGAAAATATTATTGCTAGAATTATGAACCTTGACACATAAGATATGGTTGATGATAAGAAACATACATTTGAAGTTTGAAGTTGATACCTTAAGAAATAAAAAGTTCTAGTGAAAAATATTTTACTGCACCAAAACTTTAATCTGAAATCTGGACGCGGACGCGGACGCCACCGCCGACGCCGGGCGAGAAGGACAGCTCTCCATATACTCCGTATAGTCGAGCTAAAATCCAAAGTTACAATATTGTTTTATGGGTGACTTGAATGTCAAAATATTTAAATTGAGCAGTCTTTCAAATGTGTTAAATTTAGTTACCTACCTCTGAGAGCTCTCAAGATTTTCAAGTCTTTGTAGGAGCTGATGGTTGCTTTGACTACCTTTCCTAGCAACGGCAGCGGGACACAAATTTAACACAACTAACAATATCAAATAATTTAACAGTTCCATTGTAAAGTTATTGTAAGACTAGTATGTTTGTTGAATGTATGTAGTTGATTGACATATGAGCCGCGTCACGACAAAACCAACATAATGGGTTTGCGACCAGTATGGATCCAGACCAGCCTGCGCATCCGCGCAGTCTGATCAGGATCCATGCTGTTCGCTATCAGTTTCTCTACTTGTAATAGGGTTTGTAAGCGAGCAGCATGGATCCAGACCAGCCTGCGCATCCGCGCAGTCTGATCAGGATCCATGCTGTTCGCTATCAGTTTCTCTACTTGTAATAGGGTTTGTAAGCGAGCAGCATGGATCCTGATCAGACTGCGCGGATGCGCAGACTGGTCTGGATCCAGGCTGGTCGCAAACCCATTATGTTGGTTTTGTCGTGACGCGGCTCATATATTATAAAGATAAGGGCGGAATGTATGTAGGCCAAATGAATTGATAACAATGCTGTTAAAGAAATGATTATTACCATATACTAGATAATTTTGTTATCGACAGGTCATATATATGCAACCTGATCAAAAGAGAAATAAAGTTAACAAAAAATAAACACTGGCAAGTCTTTCTTGATTGTACATTCACAACGTGCATTGACCAAGACAGTTGTAACTTTTAACATACGATTGCGTTTCATCAATGAGTGGTACAGGGGTTCGTCTTAACATCATGTTAAAGTTAAATATACCAATTCACTGTTGCCATATTTCATTTCAATAGAAAGCATACGTCGGTCAGAGATTATTTTTCTAGTAACTGTGAATTCTTAAACTATGTTCCTAAATGGTCCTTATCATTGATACTGTTTAAAGAATCATACCAAATGCGCTGGTGTTTCAATAATCATCTTGCTCTAACGTTAATAATGTTTATACTTTAAAACCATGTACTTTCAATTTACGAAAAGTTAAATATTAACATTAAGATACCTTTTCGGGAAACAAAATTTATGTTTTATGTAAATTAAACATTGTCGATTCCTATATATTGTCTCTTTTGTCTTTCTCGCGTAACAGATTATCTTATTTTTTTTTTCAGAAAAAAAAGTCAAAAACAATTTGTTCAAAGTAATGTTTGAGGAACATCGGCGAAACAAGTGGGCGACCTTAAAATTGAAAATCTCACTTTCTGATTGAAATGTCTAGACAAACTTGTCGAAAATAATCTTACACATGGACTACTTATCGTTTCCCCGGATAAGTTGGAGGATAAATTCAAACACAATCATTTAAGGAATTTATTTTACAGTCTAGGTAATATGACGGTTCTAGGAATATTTTATCTCAATAGAAGTGTAAAAATGTATTCTTTGCTTGACATAATAGAATTCTTGGCTAAAACCATGTGTCAGGTACACGTTGAACGGTAATACAGGACGAACTTCAGCTCAAAAACATTTTCTTCATCTACGTTTTTAGAATACGACTTTGTACATAAACACATTAATATTTGGAATCATCAATAAGATTAGAATTTAATACAATACGGGAATCATTTATTTTGACGAGTATATGACAGACAAACTATATTGGACGACCTGTCGAATTTGGACAAACTATATTGAACGAGCTTTCAGTCCAGTTAAACTGTATTATAACATCAGTCCGGAAAATCTACACTGAATGAGCTGTCATTGGAGTCCAGACAGACTATACAGGACAAACTATTAACTGAGTTTGGAATACTTTATTGGACGAGCTGTCACTTAAGTCCAGACAAAATATATATTGGACAAGCTGTCATTTGACTCCGGACAAACTTCATCGGACGAGTTGTTTGTAAATTGACTCTAGACAAACTATATCGGACGACCTGTTTGTAACTTGACCCCAGACAAACTATATTGGACGACCTGTTTGTAACTTGACCCCAGACAAACTATATTGGACGAGCTGTTTCTTGTCTCCGGACAAACCATATCGCACGACCTGTTTGTAACTTGACCCCAGACAAACTATATTGGACGAGCTGTTTCTTGTCTCCGGACAAACCATATCGCACGGCCTGTTTGTAACTTGACCCCAGACAAACTGTATTGGATGAGCTGTTTCTTGTCTCCGGACAAACCATATCGCACGACCTGTTTGTAACTTGACCCAAGACAAACTATATTGGACGAGCTGTTATTTTGACTACGGACAAACTATATTAGACGAGCTGTTAATTGTCCCCGGACAAAGTATATCGGACAAGCTGTTTGTAACTTGACCACAGATAAACTATATTGGACCAGCTGTTACTTGTCTCCGGGCAAACTATATCGGACGAGCTGTTTTTGACTCCGGACAAACTATATCAGACGAGCTGTTTGAAACTTGACTCCCAACAAAATATATATTTAATGACCTACCACTTGAGCAGAACATGATTTAATTAATTTATTTTGTATTCTTCAAAACACTTTTAAACATCTTTTTATTTATTACAGTCTCATTTTTATAAATTTAACCTTTTAGTACAGGAACAAATATTAAATAAATGTTGTTAGTATCCATGCTTGTATAAAATAACTTAAGTTATTAAGTTAAGCTATTTTATACAAGCATGGATACTTTTACAGATACGTCATTTAAGTTAACATTTCATGAGAAACTGTCACACGGACCTTGAAGTTACACAAAAAAGATGAAAGATATATTTATATATTATCAAAACAAAATATGATAGAATATCAATCGCTTGTTTCAACGATGACTTGCTTTAAACGTTCATCTTTTTTTGTGCAACTTCAAGGTCCGTGTGACAGTTTCTCATGAAACGTTAACTTAAATGACGTATCTATAAAATTGTGTGAGGTAGACTTCATTGACGTCACTACGTCTTTTCAAATACGGCACCGTTTTTTTTTCTTCTTCTTCTTCTTTTCATTTGACATGATTTACATCTCAGCAGGTTTCTAGACTATTCCGAACATATCCATTTTATGAACATCTGTTTCATCGTCCGGGTGTTACAAGTCCTACTTTACAACATACAGCATTTACACCAGATCATTCATTTATAATGCTTTTTGCTGCTTTTATAGGAAACGCATAAAACAAACACATACAGCTTCAGAACGAAATTAGAGCTAACTTGTACATGTTCAGCAAAATATTAAACCAATTGACTGCAATGGCGTTTTGGTATGGATAATATTATAAATAATTATAATAATTTCTAAAGCTTCTATATGTACGTGACACCAAAACTTCATTTGTTTACGCGGAAATTATCCTATCTAGTTTCAAATTTTTTCTAACACTTCTCAAATATCAAATTTACAAAATATAATTCATATAATTTATTTTCAAAGACGATATTCTATGTACCGATTTAAAATACAAAATAAATTTGAAATTGTAAAGATGCACATATAACACGCTATCAACTTTTTCAAGTGAAATGATATTTTACCATCACAATGGACAGCGGAAGACAATCAGCACGATTTGCAAATTTTTGCACGAGGATCACGGGCAAGGACGAATTAATGCCTAATTTCAGTTTAATGTAATATAAGTTGAGCGTCCATTCCAGAGATAAAAAATGTAAAAATTGTGCTTTCATTATAAAAAAGATATATTATTTCTAAATAATATATTTGATGAAGTGGACATTTACAAGTTTTTATTGTGACCAATACTATTACAGAAAAAGATTATTGTGACCAATACTATTACAGAAAAAGATTATTGTGACCAATACTATTACAGAAAAAGATTATTGTGACCAATACTATTACAGAAAAAGATTATTGTGACCAATACTATTACAGAAAAAGATTATTGTGACCAATACTATAACAGAAAAAGATTATTGTGACCAATACTATTACAGAAAAAGATCGCTTCCATTTCTTAATATAATAAAATGACAAAATAAATATGTTACATGTGTTTCAAAACATTTTTTTTTCATTTCATTTCTTCAACAAAGTAGATCTAGGATTTGAAACACGGTATGGTCTCGCATTCGTATCGGAATAATAAAGCGGTACATTTTTATACGAGTCACTTACAAGTACTTTAGGTTTGTCCATTGGAGTGTCTTTAATGTCAATTCTTTTTAGAATGCTGTCAGTTTCACCATATATAATACGTTTCGGGGCAATCTGCTTTATATTTATATGAAACTGCTTTTTATAATTATCCGAGTTCATCCAGAAATGGTGCCATCGATGTCGTAAAAATGAAAACCGTTTATCCTTCCTAACCATACCCCTCCTTCTCATTTCTATGCAAACTCTTTTGGTTATAAATGGCTGTTCCGCAAAATTACTGCAAGTTCTTTTGAATGACCTTTTACGGTTACGTACATCTATCTGATCTGTGAAATAATGAGTATTAGGCACATAAATAGCATCGTCATGGATCTCCGGTAGTACACCCCTATAGAAATATGGCGAATTACTCGTGAATTCAGTTTTCGTTCTATTTTCGTCATTTTCCTCAATGTTGTTATACCTAATAAAATTCCTTGTAACAAAGCCCGGACCAGTTCCGTCGGTCGTATCATCATATTTAAGTGTATCTTTAATTTGATAAACCATTTGTTTAAAAAACGGATGTTTCGGTCTACAAAACATTATGGCATTGTTCATGAAGATTTGATTGTCATAAATAAGCACGTTATGCTCAAATGGTTCGGTCGGAATGACGCATGCGTACTTCCTTGTCACGTTGTCTAACGGTCTTAAAGGTTCCACATCTAAGTCAATGTAGGCGCCTCCGAATTCATATAAGACAACATAGCGGAGGAAATCACCTTTGCTAATACTTTTGTTAAAAGAGTCCCAGTCATTTAGCAGCTCAGGGTACTTGTCTTTAATCAGTTTGCGCGCTGAATCATCAGTCCAAAAGTAGTACGTCCATGTTGGATTCATCTCATACATCATCTTCGCATATCTGGCGTATTTAAGTGGCAGACTTTCCGATCTAAACGTCTGATGGATTACATGCGGAATTCTCGGCTGTTGTCCAACCGTCGTTGGAAAATCCGAAACCGCGGCTGGTTGAAATGGCGGATATTTCAAGTGAGGAAATATATCCTTTAAATATAACGGTTTATTCTTTTCGCTATTATTTCTGTTGTTCAAAACTGTAAGATTTGGTAACAGAAATGTGGAGTTTGCCGTGTAGACTAGAGCTCTATATTTAAGGCTTGAACTAGGAGTCCATAACGCGTTGCTGGATTGATTAGCCTCAAAATAATCAGACCTTTCCCCTATTATCGACTGAATATCAGAATCTTTCTCCTCAACGTGTCCTTAAAAGTAAAAAAGAAAAATGAATTTAATATTTATATCTTTTACCATAATGAAGACGTATTCATTTATTCATTTAGTTGACGCAAAGTTCGGTTGAAGAATCAGTTTGCAACAGTATTCAGTGAGCTTTTCATTATTCATCTAAGACATAAGGGTGGGGCCAGCATTACACAAATTGCGCATACGCGAGAAAAGAAAAACAAAACCGATCAAAACACAGGGCAATCAATGGCAAAGTAATCATGTAATTACCGGCGGGCAGTTTCATAAGAAATTCTTGAATTCTGACCAATGCTCACAAGTTTGTTCTAAAAAATGTTAGCAGTCTTTAGATCAATACTCTTCGGGCCAAAAAAGCGTGTCTCTGGCGAGTTATATACTATCCTGAAGTGTATTACTGACTTTATGGAGCCGACTCTACACTTGATTCCATTATTTAAGGGGAGCGGTGGCCTAGTGGTTAAAGTGTCTGCCTCTCAACCCAGAGTTCATGGTTTCGAGCCCTACTCGGGTCACGACAATGATTCTTCTTTATGACACCAGTACTGGCTGGTTCCAGGAATTAAGCGGATTCAAAAGTGCTTAATGTTCCAAGAACTTGTTTCTTAATCGAGCTTAAATAAATATGTTTAAACCAATTCCATTATATAGAAATAATCCGTCAATTGTATTATTTTACTGCACCACTCAAACCATAAATTGTCACGTGATATAGGCACCGTGTATTTAGGTAAATTTACCCACTAAACACTATATATAAGTTTCCTCACACGGTACGATTAACTAGTTCCTAATCTATGAAACGAAACTACAATGGTAATTAGCAAGTGACGATTATGCTACCTTAATCACAGACACTAATCCACCGAAGTCTTCTTTCATAAAAAGTAAAATGTAGTGTTGATGATGCAGTAATATATTTCAATAATTGTTAACTGGTATTAGATATACTTGTTCGTTGCTGCAACTTTTGTATGCTAAAGAAATATTGAGAACAAAGAAAGAAATACAATATTTTTCAAAGAAGTCATCTGGTCAGCTGGAATCATGGGCCTGTCAGAATACAATTAAAGTTTATGAAGGGAAACAAATCCTGGTATATCTTGGTCATTAGCTTCCCCTTTTACGTTTCCGGAATTTTCGGTTGTCTTCCAAACATAAAATATACACAATTACTTTGAAGCGTTCATAAAAATAGGGTGTTTAACAACGTCCATAATTCCAACATACAAATCGGAAGCATGTTCCTTTTGTATGAAAAGTCAATGACCTGATACTCGATCTATTTAATGTACATAGAGTAGGAATTGTGGTAATTTATCCAAAATCTATTATTTTAATAAAAAATTGAGGGGCGTCTCTGGTCAAGCGGTTAAGATCGTTGACTTTAAACCATTTGTGCCCTATTACTGTGGGTCCGAATCCAGCCACGGACTTTGGATTTCCTCATGTAAAGAAACTGTCAAGCAGTTCGTCGTGCTCTGAAATAATGCACGGGGTCATGAGGTCTTCTTCGATCAGAAAAACTGAAATGACCTGCAATCGTAAAACTCAAACAAAGATAAATTAGAAAATTGACTCACCAAATTCTCTCCAAACGGTCTCCAGGACAACGAGTATCATGATTGCCAATACGCAGATACAGTACAAAGTAAACACCTTTCTTCTTTGACTTTGCATTGCTGATTTTCTACAATATCCATTTAAAAAAATGTAACACATGAAACATTATAAATTCATTGATCTAACAAGAACAGTTTTCTATTTTTACCCGTCATCCAAAATCAATACACTGTCATTAGAATACACACACGCGCGTTAACTTAACATTTCAATCAGCAGCACGTGGTTTCCATTATACATGTATTATAAAACCGTTAATTGATCAGTGTATCATATATGAGCCGCGTCACGACAAAACCAACATAGTGCGTTTGCGACCAGCATGGATCCAGACCAGCCTGCGCATTCGGGCAGTCTGATCAGGATCCATGCTGTTCGCTGTCAGTTTCTCTACTTGTAATAGAGTTGGTAAGCGAACAGCATGGATCCTGATCAGACTGCGCGGATGCGCAGGCTGGTCTGGATCCATGCTGGTCGCAAACCCATTATGTTGGTTTTGTCGTGACACGGCTCATATGTTTTCATACCTTTACAATAATTGTAGCATACATGTTGGACTTTAATACAGAATTTATTGAACGAGACTAAAATTATATCATACGAGCCTCTGGTGAGCCTATTTGAATATTTTATTTAACGAGTTCAATAAATTGAGTAATGAACTTACACGAATTTAATATTTAGCGCGTCAAAATAATTTTATAATACTGCACGTTTGTAACGTCATTTTTCATTGGATAATCGTGACGTTTATATAGTTTTATATACACGGCTGCTGTCGATTCATGAAGAAATCTTATTTTTTTTTCTCTAAAAATGATGCTTGCTGTATTATAAATTCGTTATAAAGATTGTTGACAGGTTATACGGCCGTATATAAACGGCTCGGGTTATATTTACAAATAGCCGTTTATATAGCGCCATATAACCTGTCAACGATCTTTATAACTAATAATATATACGGCCGTGCAATACCATTTTTTACAGAGTCGCAAATGTGGCACGGGTATCTAATAAATACAAGTTCTTATACAAAATCAGGAGATCAGTCACATATTTATTATCTGTCAAAATGTAAAAATACAACTTACTGGTATGTAATAACAGGGCTATTTTCTTTACTTAGCAAGGTTGCCTCAACTGTTTTCTTTTAAGCAATCTGATGACCAGGGTACGATAAAAGCGGTGTCACCATCTGCAATAAATCGATGTCAGTTTGAAAATGACCGGCCAGGCAATCAAATTACAAGTTCTTTTACGTGATTAATTTACATTTTGGATGAATACCGAAAGAAACATATCAATTGGATCAAGCGATCATACTGTTTGCATTACAAACGTTAGATATTCACCTATGGCAGCTAGCAAGTTCACTTAACTAACATAAACTTGAACTTGAATCTTTCATTGTAGGTTGGTTAAGGACACAGATTCAAAGCAACGTGGGGTGACATTCTTTAGCAATATCAGTATTTTTGGCTACTTGTATTCGAGTCGTACTTGGACCGACATGTGTATTGATGCATAAGTTTCTTTTTAATTATCAGTATTTTCCTATTGTCTTTGTTTCTTTTATTTACATTTTGTCTTCAATAACCATTAAATCATTATACTGATTTTGACATATTACACCAATACAGAATCATTTTCTAGTTTGGTTTCACTTGCAGTGTCGGTGCCGCTGTCAACGTCGCACATGTACAGATTTACAATCGTTAAAAGGCGGCACTTGGCCCGTTTCGTCAATCCAATCAACTGCTAAATATATGTAAATTTATTTATTGTTTGTTTATAGTATAGAGGGGTATATTTCCCGTTATTTTTCAATTATTTGCTTACATTTTTCAATTATTTGTAGCAGGACAGCCTATCATTACATTTTACTGATATAATCTTATTTTCAGAATAATATCTAAACAATGAATATTTTTCCTTAGCCTTATTTATACATTTAGTATCTTTTCAAACTATAGTAACAGTAAGCATATATAACTTAATGCATTATTTCATGATATTCATGCTATTCATATCTTATGTAAGGTTTTTATCCAATAGAGGGTTGTTCATTAAATTTAACTTAATACACTTCAATACATTTTAAAGCAGAATATTGATTCTCGATATTGTTAACTTAATATTTTGTAACATTCCTCTTTTTGTTACTTATTTTCAAGTCATGCCTTTTTCATGAATTGTGTGATTGCAGAGAGAAGTGGCTATATAAGCCAGTATTTTCGGTCATTTCATTGCCTTGTCTACATATGCAAAAGGTAGCGTATACCTATTATCGCCTGACTTGGTCATTTATCTCTATTTTCCCTATGAAGTTCTTTATGTAACTTATATTTTATTTCGTGACATTTTAAGAAATCAATTGAATATTTTGACATAGAAACATATTATCTTAAATCTATTTTGCAATAAAACTGCTGAACTCTGAAATGCCTATGTTCTTCATATTTGAATTTTCAATTTAATCTTCAATGAACCTGGGTAAATAACTAGGACGTTAATTGTAATCACTGTGTGTCCGTTTGTCAATCTCCTATGATCTAACTAATTGTACTGTGCGTTGAGATATTGTGGGCAGTAGAAGAGATATTCCACCCCAGAACAAATATATCCCAGAATCTAGCTATATGGCACGTCAAAATAGTTTGGCTATTTCGTGTAAGTGTAGCATATACACGTCACAATAAACTTCTACCTTTTGATAACTAAATGACTTTTTTGAAGAATATTTATACATAGTGTACACACTTACCTTTGTTCCATAAACATTAATCGTAACTCATATCCGTGCACTATAAAAAATATTGCGTAGCTCGCCAAGAGCATAAATATTGCATATATAACGCAGATCAAATCAAATATATTTTATCAAGTTTACAAATTTGTCAAATGCGTGTTTACACCTATTGATGAGGGTAAATAAACCGAGCTATTTCAAGTCACGCCAAACTGAACACACACACACACATTGACTTGATTTCGGGTGAATGTGTCATACATGATTATGTTAAGCGCATGTTAAATTCACTGGTTACTTTGTACAGTAAAATCCTACTCAAGACCATCCCGCTGTAGAGACCATTTTTTAAGAGAACGGAATTTTCTGTTCTTTATGCCATTGGTTACATAATTCAGAATTAAGCCCACCCCGCTTATCCACTTTTAATAGTACCAGATTCAGTCCCAATTCTTTGTTTTATTCTTTATTTGACCCTACTATTGAGATCACTGATAATAAAGTCAACACCTACCTAATTCTTAAATTTGTTGTTATCATCTGCTTGAATGCTCTTAGGTATGACACTTGATATCCCAAGATGCCAAAAACTGTTAATTATTGGGGTTTTTTTTTGTAATGAAGAGTGGTTTAATATTGCTTTCAGCATATTTATTTTGTGAAGATTTAATTTCTTATTTTATAGCTGAATAGTGTACATTATTATATAGTAAAATCATATAATAGATTTAAAATCAGACCAAAAAGAATTTAATGTCAAATTTCTTCAGAAATATGTTTTCCTCTTATCAGATTAAATATTATAACACACTTTTATATTGTATTTGCAGGTTAAGATACATATTGTTTGTTCATACAAAATGACTAAAATAGACCATGCAAGCTATGATAAGAATATTCACAATTAAGACCATCCTACAATTAAGATTACTTTCTTTCAGTCCCAATGGTGGTCTTAATTGAGAGTTTTTACTGTACATGTAATTTTGGATAACGCACAATGTATGGTTCGATAAAGTTAAACAATGACTTTATGTACATGTAATCATAAAAAATGACCTACATGTACAGTCACAATTAATAGAAGTGTATACTTGCTGAGATCTAAGGCATTTTAAAAGTTGCAAAATTCAAAAAGTCTATTTTTTGGTCTATATCCAATATTTAAATTGTAAAACTCTAATTTTATGTTGTATACTATAATATTTATTTAATGAAAACCTAAATGTACTGTAACCTGAGACAATATGAAAGAGTAGTCCTGAAAAGGGTTGTTGGTGCCAGCAAAAGGCCTGTCGTTCAAGCCGTCTAACCGTGCTAGGGGCTCGCGCACACTAGCACACCATCCTCGTCGACCCGAAGCCTACTTTGTAGGGCCACTCCCCTCGGCTTAGTCAGGACATCGGCAGCTGGTCCGCAGCACAAGTTCCGATCTTTTTCGCCGTCCCCAGTCTTCAAATCTTCTGCCGATGCTTTATCAGAAATTCGCGCTTAGTTTATAGGCTGGGCTTAATATGTTAAGTGTTCTATCCCATGATTCAAATTATCGAATAAATATTTTTCAGTATGACTACAATAAATATATATAATTATACAATATATATTTTCAAATATAGAACATATATATAGAAAATTATCGCATACAAATATTTTTATGTTGGACAAGTATTCAGTAGGATTGAATAAATATTTTATGGTATACAATATAAAATTAGAGTTGGATATAGACCAAAAATATATTAATTGAATTTTGCAACGTTTAACATGCCATAAGGAATGATACAATTTATGCATTACCAATCTTCTTTACTATTCCTTACAATGGCATGCATACCTTTGAAATTTAGCATTCTTGTATTTATCCATATTGGACAAACTGAACATGTATTATTAAGAATGCAATCAACACACATGGGTTGTATCGATATCATTCAGATGTGAGCATGTTAACAAAATACATATAATTTTGGCGGATATTCCCCTCCATAGTAATCATCACACCTTTAAGATGCTTGCCTCTTTAATAAGACCTAACCACCTAAAAAAGTCAAGTTTTTCTGTCAGGAACAGTACATCAAATAAGATTTGTACGTCACAGACGAAGTTTTCGATGTTTTTAACATATTTTGTAATAAGATAAATTTTTCTCAAAGTTTAGTGGCATGTACCATCCTTTAAAAGCTAGCAGTATGTCAACGAGTTAAGTATTTTGGAAAGTTTTAGATTATAAAGTTGTACAGTGTAAATATTCATGTCAAATAGAATTTGCGGTTAAAATGCAATTTTGTGTACAAGACACTAATTAAATATGACACAATTAAATGTCGCATTCGTTTATTTTTTATCTGAGTATAAATAGCCTAAGTTAAGCCGTAGCAGTCACTTCTTTCATCGCTTTGATGTTGCCGATCATATCATTCTCTTTTATTCAACGACAAGTTTCTCATGGAACTTGAAACGTTTCATTACACGTAAGAGCCCGTTTATTTGCTTTAAATGTCTAAAATCGAGAGATTGGTACGGGTTCTTGCGATACCATAGCTGTTCTTAAAAATTTCGGAATTCAGTCTCCGTTTTAGGAAAATTCCACAAGAAGATTATCACACAATCTGATATACCTAAGGATTCCAGGTACCCTCCGCTAAATTTCCAGGGTATCTTAAAGTAACAGCAAGTTATCTACAACAATATTACTTAAATCGAGTAAATTGACGATATATGAAAAGTCACGTGATTTGGCTACCAGCAGAGGTGTTAAAATTTAATTGCAATACATTATTTGATAGCCATTGAAGTGATAATGTATATAGGACTTTCAAAAACAGTTATTATTCAGAGCGGGCGCTATGGTGCAGTGGTAACATTATCTGCCTACCAATCAAGGGGTCGTGAGTTCGATCCCCCGCTACTCCACTGAACGAATGACTAAAATGACTACAAGACAAACAAAACCAGAAGATGGAACGAAGACGGATTATCGACGAGGACTTATAGCAGAAGAACGGAGACGAGGACCAATAACAGAAGAACGTAGACGAGGACTGATAACAGAAGAACGGAAACACAAACTGATTTCAGTAGGACGGAGACGAAGACTGATAACAGGCGGGCGGAGACGAGAACTGATAACAGAAGAACGGATACGAAGATTGATAGCAGGAGGATGGAGACGAGGACTGATAACAGAAGGACGGAGACGAGAATTGATTACAAGACCAACGGAAACACGACCTGAGAACAAATGAACGGAAGCTAGGACTGATAACAGAAAAACGGAGGCGTCTACCGATAACAAAGGACGGAGACGAGCACTGCTAACAGGAGGACAGACACGAGGATCGATACACTTGACGGTAGATAACGTTATTGGACAAGGAATAATAACAGAAAAACGAGTTATAAGAACATACCGAAGACCATACAATAGTAACGGTAGACCTTCAAACGGCAAAAGACAGACAAAAAGGCACAACTGTATCTGACTGGCAAGCACAAAGACGCTGAAAGGAACACAAAACGGAAGATACGGACAACGAAACAGGAAACGAGAAATACATACAACATTTACGTAACAAATACGTAACTTACAACAACAATTACGTAACGTAAAATACGCTGAATTGAACCGTCAACAAGACGATAGATACGTATCATACGACAACATAAACATAAGGGAACATACAACAATAGTCCAATAGCAAAAAATAGCACAGGCAACATATGCTGAACGGAAAGTACAAAACATTACATGGGAAGACAGAAAACAACAAATTGCAGTAAACACAGAAGATAGCATTGAAAAGGACAGAAAGAAAATGACGATACTTGTCTGCAGATTGACCTTACGGGACATAACAAAACAGACGTGTATTTAAGTTTAAGAAATTTTTTATCGTTTTATAACATAAATATGATGCTCAAATGAAGATTTATCAATATTGTAATTTTCAAAAAGCATTATTACAAATTGATTTTCGTTAAAGTCTAAGCCAGTTTTTTTTTAAATTCAAAAATGAATGCATTAATTCTAACTTTAAATTATTATGTGAATAAATATTTGTTGTATTTAACATAATATTGCCTGTTTTGAAATTGTTTAAGAAGAATAATATATACCTATTATGCTATATAAAACTTCACTTAACTGTTTGTTGCATCCTTGATTACAGCATACAGGATATTCGTAAGCATTGGATTACACTATATACTAACAGTTTTCACTTTGCATATGTCATAAAAAAACTATGTATAATCCTAAAGGAATAACTTTGTATGTGTTTGCGATATTTATGTGACGAAATAAATTGCTTTATCTGTTATCTTTGGGCCCATTTATTACAATTTATTTTTAAAATCCTTTTTGGGCCCCTGAGGGTTTTTTTTGTCTAAAAGTGAGAAAAAATAAAGTATTTCGTGTTAAAATAACTTTGGCCATTTTACTGAAACGGGCTTTCCCAAAAAGAATAAGAAACTTTCAGAAAAAGGCACAGTCTTTTAAAATTCTGACAGTATACCCTTATATTGTTCAACGTCTATATTAAGTTAAATTACGCAAATTTTAATAGATTTAAATATCACATAAACTATTTTAACCGATTTAAACGGTATAATAACATTATGTTTTCCAAAATACCTTCTCAACTTGCTACTTTTTCAGAAACAGTTTTATCGTAATTTTTTCTTTTTGGCGAAAAATGTCACCGGGCATATAAAGGAAAATATTTGTTAAATAGTGAATTTCAAATAATTAAATTCAGCATATTGTTAAAGTTTTTATGGCCCTTGTACCTCTGCTGAATTTAGAGTTCAATATTGCAGATACAGGAAAAGGAAAGTACAATTTTAATCTTATAAATGTGTGGTTTATAAATGATTTAAAATTTTTATCACAATTTCGGACTTTCTTTTAAAAAAAATGTGTGTCTTACTACATGTATTATTACCATGTTATAATAGACTGCAAATAAAACATTATGCTTCACAAATTGAAAATAAATCTCTTTAGTTATTACACATATTTTTTACTCTATGGACTCCATACAACTGATACTTCGTCGAACACAATAAAACATAATATCATCATTTTTTGTGGGTTTTTTTTGCACATGTTTCATGCAAATGCGCACTGTATATTATTGCTTTTCTTTTTCTACTGACAATACGCTCCCTTCACAGCTCACTTTATATTCAAGAAAGTGAGCGATAGTGA